TATATATATATATCGATATACGCACGGGTTGTTTTATGTGCGGGATTAATTTGCATACGTAATATCGAAATTGAAGTAATTAATACACAATAATATTATAATGTAATTAATACACAAAGATATTATTTGTGAAACACGATGACATAATACAATATATAATAGATACCTCGTATGGATATTTTTTTTTCCTGATTGCTTCCCCCCCTCCTATCTCCCTTTATACATGCAGCTCTTATTCTTATTACTTCTCGAGTAATATTATCGGTATATTGCATCGTTAATACAACTCCGACTGCAGCTATTCATGGCTTATTGCTACGTAGTCTCTGGAGAAATATGCTTTTAGCACATCTTGTTCATTGGTATTATTGAGCGACACCACATTTGCTTTCCTACGGCACGATATTTAATTATTCACACCAATTATGTTATAAACAATATAAAATATATTATTACTCTTATAAATTTATTATTAAAATACATTATTAATTATTTGTCTAGTTATGTTAATATAAAATATCATATACGAAGTACAATTCAATAGCACAAATAAAAAATATTGTAACTGAATCTTTTAATAATAATATTTTTCGACGATTTTTCCAGAGCCGATTAAACCGCACATGTAAAAAGTATTATGTTACAAAGAAAAAAAAACAATAAAATTTTATATTTAATATATTAATTTAATTTAATTTTTATAATCCCCTCCTACACTTAAAAAAAGAGGACTATATCTATATTGTACACTCAAAATAAATGTAGTTTTGCGATCATAAATATGTCATATAATCATAAATGATATTTTTCATTATTATCGGTGAATTATGCAGATTAATCTTTATATGTTTTTCAGACCAGGCTAACTCGAAGGTATCGGATAAAAGCAGGCGTACCGACGTTGATCCTGCTGGAGGGGTCCAACGGTTCCATAGTGACAAGAGGAGGCGTCGAACGAACCGTCGCTGATCCCACCGGCCTAGAATTCCCTTGGAGACCTCCGCATCCAAAAGCTGCCCTTGAAGATGGACCTCTTCTGCCATGCGGTACTCGCGATAGCAATGAACCTATGTTGCATGAGGAACTCCGCTACTATTACAAGGGGGTTTACTTCAGCGCACATTGGGTAAGGAGTGATACGAAAATTATGGAAACGTTAAAATTACGCACGATCACATTGCAAAATGTTTCACTGATTTCTATGATAATTTTAGTTATTAAGCAAATGTGCTTTAAGAAAAATACTAATTAATTTGAATTGTACAAAGCAAACTGCAAATCTACGATTGATTAGAAAGACAAATAAGATAACATCTTTTTTATTTAATTTTAACAGAATATTAATTTAATGATAAATTAAAAAATTAAGATTAATAAATATATATATATATAAATATATATAATTAAACATTTACTAGAAAAAATAATATTGAATCAAAGTTTTTTAATGAAGAGATCGATGTTGTATTCTAATTAAATCACAACATATGATACATTAGGACAATATATTAATTTAATCTATGTATTTCTGACATTGTGAATATTAATTACACATTTCAATTATCTTAGAAATATATTGTGTGCTTTTCATTTAGTGTCCACCTTGTAAAGCATTTACTCCGCAACTCGTGGACACGTATCAACGAATTCGGGAGAGAGGTGGCAATTTCGAAGTAATTTTCGTAAGTTCGGACAGGTAGGTTTGTTTGTGGGATTGATTATATATTACACTCTAAATAATTTAATTTAATTTTGTAATTATCTGCCATAATAGACTACTCTTTTTGAAATGTCTCATTTTATTCCAATATATATCTTTGTCTTATTTGACGGCTGATTTCTCCATGTACTTATCACTATATTCATAGTCCTTTTGTTTTCTTCTCTTTTGTAAAAGATTTCAATTGTGCGTTTTTATTCTAGGAGCGAGGACTCGTATAATGCGTACACGGAAACAATGCCTTGGCTAAGGATACCTTTCAGTCAAGAAGAAAGACGTCGAAAATTGGCAAGTGCTTTCGATGTTCAAGCAATACCGACTCTAGTCATTGTGGATTCTCGCGACAACATAATCACTCTAGATGGACGTACCGAATTAATCGAAGATCCAGAAGGACTGGTAAATTTTCAAACAAAATTTTCAAGTTATATTAAAAATTTATTATAAATGATTTTTTTTTGAAAAAGATAAAGACGCTATTATATATATTAAGATTTATCAAAAATAACAAAGAGAATAGTGGCTTATTTCTCTGAAATTTTTACAATTATTAATTTTCTAAATTTTTAGAATTTTCCCTGGACAAGTAGACTGGTGAATATTTTAACAGAAAAATATGCTACGTCGTTACACGATGCTCCAGCCATTATTTTGTTCGTCGGTAAGCATTAAATGAAATATTTATGTATGTACATATATTCGCATGCTCTATTCGAAAACAATAAAATCTGCTGAAAAAAATTGATTGTGTATTGCTTAATCTTTTCTTGTTTATTTTACAGAAGGAGAAGACTGTGAGATTCAATTCGGGGAAAGTGTACTACTACCATCTGCACAAGCGTATAGAAGGGATCAGCCTGATTATGATCCAAATTATGATGATCCTGAAGATGATATGTTGCAGTTCTATATAGCTTTAGATGTAAGTATACATATGTATAAGAGATTAAATTAAGTATAAATTAAATATATATAAATATAATTTATCTCAATGTTCATAAAGATGTAAAAATCAAGTTTTATAATTATGTGCGATTGTATGATGTATATAAAATTATAAAAATTGTAAATATAAAATATCCATAAACCAAATATATTTACCGATTTTTTTTTACGCAGTGTGAAACGTCCGACATTCTTCGTGAATTCATTGGTTTGGATGATGCGGTACCTCTTTTGACCGCCATAGATATTCCGCGAGGAATATACGCGGTGATGGAAGACGGTGCTGAGATTTCTGTGGACTCTGTACAACAGTTTGTTGATAAATTTCTCAACAACAAATTGCCAATAAATAAAATAACGGCAGTGCATAAAACATCAAAAACAAATGAACATATGCCAGCTTAAAGGCATGTGTAATATTAGTTAAGCATAAAATTTGTACTTGTCAAATGTTAGGAAAAGTTATTCGAATATCAAAAGAAATTATTTTATCTTTTTGTATCTTTCTTCTTTACTCCTATCTCTGTGATACCGTCGTTCTTAACGTAGAGAAAAAAAAAAAGATTCACATAAAAATATACTTGTTCTTGCATAATTCTTAGATATTCTACAAAAGTAACCAAAAAATATATATCATATAATAGCCGTAAATAAATCGATCAAATTGTATTTTTAAGTGTACGCACACACGAATACGTTAATAAATTATATATTACTTAATGCCGAGTGAGCGCATTATAGAAGTCTTTTTTATTAGGAGATAGCTTAAATCATTGCTGTAGCTTTTAGTATCAGTCACACATTTATTTTTAAGTGTACGCACACACGAATACGTTAATAAATTATATATTACTTAATGCCGAGTGAGCGCATTATAGAAGTCTTTTTTATTAGGAGATAGTTTAAATCATTGCTGTAGCTTTTAGTATCAGTCACACATATTTATGTTATACAGATATTTGAAAATTTAATACAATATCAATATGACACTGTGTATGTACATATTTTTTTTATTCTATTAATGTATCTTGTAAGTGGTGATGTTGAGCATTATATCAATTGCCTGATATAGCAAATATTATTTTATTTTATCTTTTTTTATTCATACATTTTTTCATCGATTTTTTTTGTATAAAATTATTCAATCCGTTATGTTTTTTAAATTACTAATAAAAACGTTACTGGAATAGAATGATTTTTTATGCTTTTTTAACATACTTATTGTTCTATCTTAGCATTTTTTATACAACACACACAAAATCATTGATTATTACATTCATACAGTCATTGTTTTCACGCACATATCAATCCTAATTTTTATATATTAAATATTTCACAATTATAAAGCTGCTACCGTCGCTGGTTAAAAAATGTACAATAAGAGTTTGCGTTTTTAAGAAAAGGCACTATAACGTCATGAATAATAAAGTGCATTTAATTATTTTAATAGTCGCGTTAGTTAAAAATTTGATTAATGTTATTGCCATACTGTTTGTCTGTAATGATTATACAATTATGAGAATTATCATGCAAGAAGCGCTGCCAGAGCATCAAGAAATTTGGGTCTTTCCTCGATTTTCAGTCTTATTACTGCAAAGAAAAATGTTAAATACGATGAGTTCTGTGTCGACTCTTTCATATAAATCATATATTCTATTTCATACTTACTTGTACTATCAAAGTAGTCTGTTTCAATGTAACAATTTTTATTTTTTGCAGTTTGCTCGAATGCTTTTCCAAATAAACTGTAAGAAATACATACAGTTAAACATACATCATATTTTATGCACAAATATAAATATTACCTTCTCGGTTGATCCTCGCAAACTGGTGGTATACCAACAAGAAGACATGATCCTTCTTCCGCATTGAATATTGCAGAAGCCACAAGGGGCCATTCAGAAGCACGTCTGTTTCTCGAAGAATTTACATATGCCTTGAGAGCAAATTGAGCTAGCATAATCAAAGGATGAGGATGTGCGAATAAATAAGTGTCTCTATTCCCATCTGGTACATTGAGATACAAAAAGGAACCGAAATTTTTTACTTGCTTAGCTTCCAATATACTCTGTGCAGTTTTAAAGATATTATGAAGCATAAGTTTTGCTTTTTCTATGCCGTTTTCTAAAATATCTTTCTTTGTACGCGATAAACAGTCCAGCGCGTCTAAGAAGCATCGCTGTGATTGTCTATCCTTTGTCTGTAAATAAATAGTAACGTACACATTAAACAATATATTAATACACTATATTCAATGATCGCTTACTTACTGTAGAATCCAGTAAAGCCAACATAGCATATACCATGTCTGAAGCGCAATATTTAAAACGATAACCATATTGGAGAGTAAAACTAGTGCCAATAATGCTATTGACATTATATTTTCCAGCTAGTTTTTCAACCATTTGTCTAAATTCTTGTCTGAAAGTAAGATCCATTGCACGAAACAACTGTTTGGATTGCACTAAAGGTAAACCCATTTCTGCTAAAACTTCCTTCAAACGTTGTTCTCCTCTAATAGACCAAAGGCGTAACGATACAGCAGTTGACATTGAATACTTTAAACTAGCTTCAACAGTCCAATGACGATATAATGCTAGTTGCAAACTATTCACTATCATTAAGGAATTAACACATTTGTCAAATATGTATATTAAATTAACAAGTATTAATCATTAAAAGGATACTCTTTGTCATAAGTAACTTTAACAATACTCTGCTGCTGTTGTTGCTTATCAATATCAATGCCTTGTCTATGTGTTAACCTGGAAACATGGGCTTGAAGAGAACCTTCTTCAAGAACAGTTATTCGTGATTCCACCTTATTAAGAATTGCCTGTTCTGTTGAACCAATTATGGCCCACCATGCCATATCTAAATTATCTTTTGACATATTCCAAGCCATCTCAAATACCACTATCGCACTCTGTAATAAAAGGTGACGTGTATATTAACTTTTAAAAAGTTACTTTAAAAAAATATATTATTGAAATGATTAATTATAGTGCATACTGATTTGCCATAATAACTGTATTGCAAATAATTAAAAAGAGTTGTTTCTCTATTTTCAACCCATTTCCTTCGTTCACTTTTCCTCAAAATATCCTCTTCATTCAATCTTCGTCTTTTACTTTGTCTGTTTTCATTTTCATTGTCTGATTCTTCATTTACATCTTCTTCATCTGACTATATATAATTAATCAGAATTATAGAAGAAATTGTTGAACATTTGTGTGTGACATTTTATATCAAATATTTTACATACGCTATCATCTCGAAATATATCATTATATTCTGGAATTTCATCGTCTTCATCAGGTTTACCAAGAATACATATTTGACTTTCTGAATATATATTGCATAAATCGTAAGGCCTATGACTGTCGAGAATAAAAAATACTACGGATTCATCTGGTCGAAGTAATTCCACTAAATCTAGAGTACCACCACAGTTTATCATTACAACATTCTTTATCTGAAAGAAGAAATTCTTTTCTTAGAACGATAATTATCTATCAATGGAATATATAAAAATATATACATTTTAGGCTGTTATTACCTCTTCGCAATTTTCATCAAATGCATCTTTCATATCCTGAATGCCTCGGACAGGTACAAGAGTATATATTATATGATCATTTTTAAAAAGTTGTTGTAATATTCTACAGGCACAGATTGCATCAACGTCAAAATTCACCAGAAGTAAACACCTCTAAATTATACAGAGAATTAATTAGATATTTTTATATAACATGAAATTATTTAACTGAATAACAATAAAGTCATATTTTTAAATTTCGTACATATAATTGAATATAACAAGCACAAATAGAAAAAAAGAACTATTAATTGTACAAGTATACCCAATAATTCAATAAATTATACGCTGTGCTTGTCATATTGCATATTCTCATAATATTCTGTTTTTTATCTTGAAGTAAAAAGGGTGCATTATGGATTCGATTCAATAATCTATAATGGCTCAAAAAAAAAAGAGACGGCAGAGTGTTATATATAACAATGATCTATGTAGGAACAAAAAACGATCGCATTAAAAAAAAAACCCGATAAATCACGTTATTGTAAAAAAAAGCTGAAAAATTATCGAGAGAATTTAAGAGACGAGAGGGTAGGAACGTCGTGGATGTAACCTATATGAAGGACGCGCACGTTATCGCGGAGCAAAATGAAGTATCGACTCACACTTTTTTGTATCACACCGTAGAAATCCTTCTCTAGGCTCGTCACGAACATGTTGCGATTGTTTACGACGCGCGTAACATTGCAGGTTTTGGGAGACGCTTTCGTACGACGGCCTCGGCATGGGAGATTTAGCGCGAAAATCCAAACCGTCGGGGTCACAAGGTGTTCGGTTGCGCGCGACGACAGATCCGCAACCGTCACCGTCGCGTCGACGGCAGGTTATATCCATAACTCCGAGATCCGGATATCTACGCGAGCGAGACAAATTGATATTTCCGATTGACATCGACGAGCGTTTGACGTACGCGCTGTCACCCCCGTATCCGCGCCGGATTTCATAAACGTCAGAAACAATGGTTAGTCGGTTAGTTTTTCATAACAATTTGTAAACAGTGCTACTGTAATCGATTCTCAACAGCGGATTCGAGATTAATCGAATCGCGTCCACTTTGATCATAGCAGAGAGAAGCCTAAAGCCCGTATCAGACTACGCATTGAAAATTGGAGATTGAAAATTAAAGATTGGAATTTGACTAATCAGAACAAAAGGAACTAAAATTTCTTTGTCCTGATTGGTCAAATTTCAATCTTGAATCTTAAATCTCAATCTTCAATGCGTAGTCTGATACGGGCTTAAAGCCTGTATCAGACTACACATTGAAGATTGAGATTAAAGATTGAAGATTGAAATTTGTCCAATCAGAATAAAAAAATTTTAGTCCCTTTTGTTCTGATTAGTCAAATTCCAATCTTTAATCTTTAATCTTCAATTTTTAATGCGTAGTCTGATACGGGCTTTACGATATATGAGCATATTGGCGATGCGGCATAAAGCCCGTATCAGACTACGCATTGAAGATTGAGATTGAAGATTCAAGATTGAAATTTGACCAATCAGGACAAAGAAATTTTAGTTCCTTTTGTTCTGATTAGTCAAATTCCAATCTTTAAAACCTGTATCAGACTATGCTTTGAGATTGAAATTTGACCAATCAGGA